CACACACACGCTCCGGGACAGAGGAATAATACCGTGCATGTTTGATTTCTGTAAACAGCTTTCTTTGTTTTTCTTTTAAAAGACATGGTGAATAAAAAAACTGAACAGCGTTTATTTAATAAGTTATATTCACGTGATGGAAATCTGTACAAAGTATTTCTGTGTTCTCTCTGTACTTCTACTCTTTGTCCCTCCCCGGGACCTGTAGCTCATTAATCTCTCTGCTTATTGTACAACCCCCCAACAAAACATTACGATGTTTATCTGCCCCTTTGGAATAATCTAAAACTAAACCGCTGTCTGTCATGTTTAGCTGTTCATGATTGAATAACAATGAAGAAAAGAAAAATTTGTTGAAAAGAAAAAAAAAAAAATCAGCGCACTTTTTGGAAATGTAATTTTTTAAACTGCTAGTGTCAAAGTGTTTTTGTAAAGATAATAGAACAATTATAACGATTTACACAACGCATGGAGGTGTCGCACACATTGTCGTTATTTCATTACACTCTTCCTCTCTGATCGGGTTCCTACCATCCACTGGCTAAAAAGGGCCGCCGCTCTCTGGGCGGAGCCGAACGAAGCCTGGTTACTGAACACTGCCGCCTGTCACTCAAAGCGGCCACGAGGCTGTGAATGTAAGAAATTACTGAACCTTTTTATAAATCAGACTTTATATTTGTGAGGTTTTTTAAGGTTTGTCTTTAGTGGGAACCAGTGAGGTTTGAAGCCACACACTGGAAATCAGATGGTATTGAGAGACAAACAAACGTTGTTTCAGGGTCTTCCAGTCATGGAAACACCTGGAAGTTGATTAAAAGTGAGCAAATTATCCTGGAAACCTAAACCTGGGTGCGTATTTAGTTTGTAACCCGACTGCTGGTTGGATAAACACAAAGTGAGTTTATCAGCTGCAAAGTGGAACAGCAGTGATCTTTTCAGCATTGAGTCTTTCCAGCAAAATTGCATACAGCCTGTTAATGATCAAATATAATAATGTCTGTGGTTGATAAATACCTGCATAGTGATGTTAATTGTTCGTGCAAAGAACACTTAATCTTTCTAGAAGATTAATTTTCTGTAAAATTAAATAAATTCTATTTAAATTGAAGTTATTTACGGGATGTAGCCAAATTAATGTAGTCAGTTTGCCTGAAACCGCTGTCTTGTATTGTCAGAAAAAACTCCTGGAAAATGTTTGAGTGGGAACAGCAGCCTTCTTCTGTAAGGAGCACTTACTAATGACTTGAATAGGGATATAATTGTGTTGTAGAAATTCAATATCTATAACCCGACTGATTAATATGTTGCCTGTGTTTGAGCTCATAGGGAAACATTACCCAGTTTGTCCACCAGAGAGCGCTTTCTACCACTTCTAAAACAACTGAAGAACAGTTAATTAGAAACAGTCAGCGCTACCTGACAGCAGAAATATGGAATATATCAAGTAACCCTGACTGACTATAATAAAACCTTTCTGCCAGTGGGGGGGGGGCAGGTGACTTTAATTAACCTGTAAATGTGCTGATCAGGTGGGAACATGCAACGATAACATGCTGATGTTTACCTTTTAGCTGCTAACATGTGTTAAACCGTTGATCAAACCTGAAGGAGAAACTTCACAAAACCTTACAGCCAGTGTTTGGTTTGTCCATTCTGGGCTACCGTAGAATCATGGCGGACTCTGCCAGAAGAGGACCCGCTGCCTCTAGATAAATACGTCTCATTCTAAGGTAACAAACATACCTGTGAATATTAGATTTCTGCCAATAGATCACATTTAAAGTAGTACGGAATATATTTTTATTACAGTATTTCAGACACAAGCAGTTCGTTTTATTGGGTTTATTTCTTTAAGTCATTGGGGATCAACAGAATCACCTCACAAAGAATCAAACGTGATACAAAGATGAAACATTTTCCCTTTTCTCCTGTTTCACAGACATTTACTGGCTTATTCTCTTCAAAAACTTTCCTTTTGTACACTTCCCAATATAAAAAAAATTATTTTAGCTTGACTGAACCTCGCAGCCTCTGCACGACAACCTCGAAAGCTTTGTCAACAGTTTTCAAAATAAAAGCTCCCCATTGTTTCTGACATGCTGGAAATGTGGATTATGAAGGGTTAATTTAAGCCTACAACCGAAGGATTAATGTAGATGAGTGATGACAGTAACAGAAAGACCCACAGTGACGTTCACTAACAAAAACAGAAAATAAGTGAGTGAGGGTGAACTGCTGGATCCAGGTTTAAGAAACATTCTACAGCTTTCTGCTGTCAAAAATAGCTCAATAAAATAAAAATATTGCAGTTCCAGTGGTTTATTCAAGTGCAGAGCAAACTATATTTTTGGCACTTATGGTATTTTATAATCACTATAAGGCCATTTGCTGAATAAGTATTAGGAAGGACTACAGCAGTGACCTTAAAAGTAAAAAAAGAAAAAACTAAAATCAGAAGCATTTCTGAAGTTTGTGTGGAACGTAAAGAAAGGCAAGAGAGGACGTTTCTTTAAACTTAAAATTGTCACTTTTTTAAAATTGAGTTTAGCTCTAATCAGTTTCTGTATCAGCTTTAAGCTGTGGGGGGGAAATAAGCATTAATTCTATTTTATATAAGATACCAAATATCTTGAGTGTTTTTTTTCCCCCACAATTAAATTCACAAATTTCACAGGTTTGGTCTCATTCAGACCAAAAATGTCTGAATTTACAAATTAAATTTATGACTTTCAACAGATTAATTAATCTTTGTGCCATTTCTTTCCTGAATCTTCTTTGGTGGGAAAAAGTCAGATTTTGGAGTAAATGACTTTTGCGACATTAAACATATTTTGCCCTCAAAGCTTTTCTTTTTCTCTCTCTGCCAAAACAAGGATTTTGTTGAACAGAGTGAAATTAGATTAGAAAAAAAAAAAAAACTCTAAACATCAGTTTCTGACAAATATACAAGCCCTGCCCCATAACGGCACGACCAATCAGCTTCAATCTCCAACAAAATAAAATGAGAACGCATTAGAAAAAGAAACCTAGTGGCGTTCCCCGTTGATCCCACTGGAGCCGACAGTCGGACCCCTCATGGTGATGTAAGGCACTTTGGACCCCCGGTCCTCTAACTGCATATATCGCCTCAAATTCAAGAATTAAACAGAGAAAACAACACAATCACTTCCTGAACCTGTACCGGAAGCTAACAGCAGCTGACCGCTGCTCACCGCTCCTCTAGTACTGCGGGGGGTTGTGCAGCTCCTCGTATTTGGGAGGAGGAGTGGTGAAGATGGCGGGGACATGCATCAGGAGGGTGGGTCTTTCGGGGTAACGCATCTGGTGGATCATGATGGAGGACAGCATCATGCCGAGCACCTGGAGGGAAACAGGAAGGAGAGTTAAGTGGGACGCCTTTCACATTAAAAGGTCATCAACCTACAGGCCAGTGTGGTTTATTAGAGAGCTAACAGATTACCTTGATAGATACAGATTAAAGTTAACTGCAGACGGTACCGGGGCCTCGTTATTTCGGTTCTTATCTTTAATTTATTGTCGGCGTCTATGTGTGTAGATGTGTGTGTACTCTGTGATAGTATTTGTGTAATTCTTAGATTTATATTTGAACTTAGTCTTAAGATCATTTGTGACGCTGTGCTTGCATTCGATTCATAAAAGTCAAAAGGTCAAAGTTTCTCGCTCACAGTTCGGACTGCTAGAAACGTTTAATCTCATTTGGATGAAATAAGTTCTGGATGCTCACCGCCAGGATAGCCAGAGTGAAGATGACGCCGAGGACGATGTCAGCCATTAGCAGGACGTAGTGCATGAGCATGGGGAAGCAGGGTTTGGCATAGACCAACTTCTGGGATCTGAACTGCAGGAGGCGCTGCAGGAGAAGAAGGAGGACGTCAGTAAACTGGATTTAAAAACACGGTTCAGGCCGACAGAATGTTTGAAACTCACCGTGTAGTCGGCGGCCTTACACAGCCCCTCCATCTCTTCCTCCTCGTTGCACAGACAGGAGGAGGGGATTTCGTCCTCCCAGTCCGTGTAACTGAACAGGCCGCAGCAGTGCATCTGAGCGAGAGAACGGATAAACAGGAGGGTTGTTGATCAGAGTCAAAGACGTCAACATGTTACAATCTTCTGCCTGAAATATTCAACTCAACTATTTATTTTAGACATTTCAGTGTTTTCTGATGCCGTTTATGGATTAGCTGAGAGACTAATTCTGGTTGATAGAGCGAAGTAACAGCTGCTGTAACTTAGTTTGTTAAACAGAAGAAATATCTCTGAATACTTAAATACTTTTGAGTATTTTATATCAGTTTATAGCATTTTAAAATATTATATTTTGAAAAAGGAAGCCATGTTATAGCTGTTGGAATATCTTGTTTTATTTTTACATTTGCACAATAAATTGTCCTGTAACTTTTTCATGCTTTCTGATTCCTTCATTCAATCATTTGAGGGGCTCAGAAACTCCTACAGTGATCTCACTGCTGATCGGTATCGGCTGTATTGAGCTTTATTGACCCGATCTGATCTTTTTATTGTCAGCTGTTTTTATTCATGAGTCAGCTCTGGTGGAGTTTCCCCGAGTGTGAGGAGGGAGCGGTAGAGACCCGGCACAACCACACTCACCACTGCCACTGTAAGTGGAACGGCTGCAGAGCTGCTCAGATGCACTGGATTGACTCATGACTCATTCTGAAACTGGCAGACTGGGACTCAGCAGATACTCAAAATTAAAAAAGGAAGTGTCTCCTGACAGCAGAATAAGCCTCATAAAGAAATAAAATTATTGATTTCTGAGAGCACTAAATTTAAACAATGTGAATGAATGGTGGTGTTTGTGAGGCAGAAGTTTAAAAAAAGTTTGCTTTGATGCTTGAGAAAAGCTGCAGCTGCTCAACCGCTGATCTGTGCAACTGTACTGCTGTTTCAATGTAAACACTGATATCATCAGCTAAAGGAAGCTCATTATATTATGTTATTAGCTTTATATAACCTGTACAGGGGAGATCAGCATCGCTTCCACAACTGCTGATTATTTTATGAGTGCAAATAAAACTGTAAAAAGATATAGTTTTTTCTATTACACAGCTTTATAAAACCTTCCCATAGAGACCAATGTTGACTGGAGACGGTTTGTTTTTGTTAGTAACAAACTGCACCAACGTTAAAAAAAAAAAAAAAAAGGAAGCAGATTTCTTTATAAGTGGTTAAATTGAAGGTTTATAAAGTTTATATGTGACTCCTTTAAGGAACTCGCTGTGTCATCAGTTCCTCTTTTTGGTGCCTCGGATAAATCTAGTCCAGGTTATCTAAAAAAAAAAAAAGCAGGAAGTCACAAATAATCGACGGAGCAGCGACGACCCTGCAGCTGATCTGCAGATATGAGATTTACATGGTAGTGAAATCCACTTCCTCTTGGCTGCACGCCACGGGTTTGCATTTCAGCCAGGCGACACACCTGTCAGCCAATCATACGCCACCGGGCCACACCTGGCTCTCCTCTTAACCCTTTCCCACCAACACGGACAGGTTTGTTTGCTGTTCGGAGCATTTCAGCCCAAAATAAACTGTGACAGCACCTGCGCATGTTGCATCCATTGTTGTAGTTGTTCAGTTAATTATATTCATAGTTCGAGAACCGGAGTTCATTTGGTGGAACGGGAGGAATTCTGGGAAACTGGTCTGTCAAAAGCAGCCTGTGACTGCTGAGCTTCAACCGGTTCGACAGTTTATCAGGATACATGAGACAGTTTGATGGCAGCTGGAATCTGTTTTTTGGCTTCTTATTAATGTTGTTAAATAGAACCGGTGTCGAGTGAAAACCTCACATCTTCTGGTTCCTTTGTCCCCGCTTACGTGCTGAAACTGTTCCTGTACTTCCTGTTTTCACCAGACAACTACAGACTTGTGTTTTCACTCACCCTGCGGCATAGGTGTGTGTGTGTGTGTGTGTGTGTGTGTGTGTGTGTGTGTGTGTGTGTGAGAGAGAGTGAGTGAGTATCTTACCCCTGTCTGCAGGGCGTCAGCGATGTTCTTCACTTCATCTGAAGCTTTGTCCAGAGGCACAAACTGACGGAACTTTTGCTCCAATATGCCCTCCAGCTGCAGACCAACACACAGTTAGTACAGGTTAGGGTTAGGGTTAAACAGGTTACACTGAAGACTGTTTGAGATCTAGTTCACATCCAGTGAAGGTAAATCTGTGTTGGTTGCATGGCTCCATTTTCTAATTGTTACAGTATGATCAATATACAACACTAATTATCTCCCTAAAACACATTTAAAAAGAGACTGAAAAAGCAAATTTATGCAAATAACTTCATTAATACAATCAATTTAAGACCTGAAAGGCCTGAGATTAAGTTAAGGACTACTTCTACAAAACAAGATAAAAACATTTAGTCAATTGTGGATCAGTTTTAAATAAGTCAGGAGGAACCACAGTGAGCAGTTAGATGAAGGAAACAAACTGTTTTTTGGGTGTACTTTCAGGTCAGTTTGACATTGTGATAAATAAAGAAACTCTGGTATTTTCTGTCTCTGTTGTCTTATCGCTCACTTCCAATAGGCTGGATATACTTAAGGTCACATGGTCACAAAGAGGGGTGTGTAGGCTCCTCTTTGCCATCTGGTTAGGGTTACAGACAGAACCAGTTTATAGGTTTATAGGGTTTTATAATCTTTACGACCAAACAGCCTGAGAGGCGTTTAGATTGTTTAGAGACAATAGATGAAGTAGAATAACTATTATGTTACTCTAACTGTAAACCATTAAATCTGGTAAATCCCCTGCAGTACAGCAGAGTAGGAACGTCACAAGAACCAGTACTTCAGTGCCAAGTTGATACCGAAATTCTGAAAACCCGACGGTACTCGTTTTCGTTCAGTACCAAGCCATATTATGTCTTTTATTTCCTGAGGATTATGGCTGTGACTAACAGTTGTTAAAGGAGGAATCAGGGGCAAAAATATGTTTACTGTGGTATTGAATCAGTATCAAGAGTTCACTGGAGTTGCTATAAACTACTAAAATGTCCAGTATGGGGACAGGGTCGTTACCTGGGGGCGGACAATGGCAGAGGGGATCCCAGCTCGGAGCATCAGCAGACTTCCAATAACCATGCACACCAGGAACTGTGGAAGGAGACGGGAAGAGACCATCACCACAATGGAACCGAAAAAAACCTGATTGTGAGTCAAACTGGTGCCCGGCAGTGGATTTCATCAACTGTGAGTTTTTGGAAATCAACTTCCCTCCCAACCTCTCTGAATCTGAAGTTGCGTTATCCTGTGCAGCCCCAGAGGCAGCTGGTCTCTGTACTCACCACGATCAGGCACACTTTGCTCTCCTTGTGGGCCCCGTAGGCTCCCAAGATGGCGATCACCATGGTAATACCGCCCACCACATAGAGGATGAGGAGGCTGGTGGTCCGACCCTCCATCTGGGGGCAGAGAAAGGTGGTCAACAGGTTAATATTCAGGGTTGTTTTTGGATTTATAGAGGATTTTTAAAACAGCTTTTGTTCTTACGTTTCCGCCATTGATGTTCGTGAGGGACTGACACAGCAGAGCGAGCACGATGATGGCGCCTCCGATAATCTGAAACAAACAAAAACAGACTGTCATCAGATCCAACAAAGTAAAAGCACACAGGAAGTGCCACATTACCTCGCCAAGGTAAAAGTCCATCAACCACTGCCTATATATCAGTCGTCACGAGATAAATCTGAAGGTTTGCAAGATTATGTGACAAATTTATATACGTTCTTTCTCATTTGACATTTTTTTGTCAATTACAAGAAATTTTGGGATTCTAAAATGTAAACAAAACAGAAAACAAACATGGTTGATGGGAGTCCATTCATCTATCAGTTATTATGGAGATCACTAAATTTAGTCAGTTTTAAGTAAATAATCCCCAAACTCTCTTGTTTTAAAGTTATTCAAGTGTGAAAATCTGCTTTTCATCATCTTAATATTACCTTCAATTAAATATATTTTGGGGTTTTGTTGCAGTTGGTTGGACAAAAACGATGTAAACTAAACAATCAATAAAATATCTGGCAGTTTAATTAATTATGGAAATACTTAACAAGCTAAAAACATTGAGATGTCTTTGACTCTGTCGGCCGTAATATGTATAATATTGATTTATAGAGACCCAACGATCAATCAGTTTGCAGATGACACTGGGAGGGAGGATGCTCAGCTGATTAGATCATTTATCAGATTTTTTGAGAGTGAATTATATTACGAAACAAATCTGATCTAATGACTGTTTAGTGGGAAAAAACAAATCCTGTCTTCTTCTATTCTGTAAATAAACACTTTTTCACTTTTTTCACTTTACGCTTTTTTGTGAAAAAAATAAAAGGTCCAGACCAAAGCTTTCTATAAAACCGCTGCAAACTATTAAACGTCATTATTGTTTTGCCTTCAGACTGAAACCAATGAAACTAACAAAACCAGATCAGGAGAAGAGTTGGTTGACAAAATAAATCCACCTGGAACTACTTTTATAGTATTTTACTTCGTCAGGATTTTCTACTTTTATCTTGTCCAAACTTAACTAAAAACCATCTTTCACTACTTTTTCCACATTTTCCAAACAACTTAAAGATTCTTTTTGTATTGCATTTTAACCTACACATTACAACCACAATAAAACTGCCTAATGAAGCTCAAAGTGAAGCCAGAAGCTGTTGAAGAGAACAGGATGACTTCCTGGAAGAAGCCTCGAAGTAAATAATGAGAGCAGGTGAGAGAGAAAATGCTCATTTCTAGCTCTGAAAACCGGGAAATAAAGTAAACACTGGGCCGGTAGTGTTAGAGAATATTCTCATAAAGCTCATTCTCATAAAACATTTTCACTTCAACTTATTTTTATCTTAGAAATCACAAAAAAGTCCCAACACACACACAATGACTGTGCACATTTCCCACATTCACTGACACATTGAACTCACAGCACTGCAGTAATATACATTCATTACTGTAAAACTCAGCTTATTTTAATTACAATTAACTTTCATTTGCTTTAGTTGACTTTTTTTAGCTTTTGTTGAAGTCTGTAATTTAGTTTAATGTAAATTTGCATCAAAAACATCTCCTCATTAATTCCTGCAGATTTATGATTTACCTATTTCAGAAGCTATTGATATGTGATTTATATATTTATATTTATCTATCTCTGTATGTATACCGGGCAGGAGGAGGCCTCACTCTCTCCTCTGCGCACTTTTTATTCCCACACACAGCCAGAGGGACAGCGGCCATGTTACACTCACCGCGAAGAAGAGGTTGAAGATGGTGAAGGTGCGTTTGAGGCAGGTGTTGATCTGAGGCATGTTTGCAGGTAAACAATCCACCGAATAAACAACGAGGTTCGTCCCGAAGGTCTTCAGCAGTGATACCGGTGAGGAAGAGCAGGGGGAGCTGGTTTTATAGGATGGGGACGGCGGGGGGAGGGAGGGAGGGGGG